TGACCTGGAGACAGACGACCTGATTCAGAATACCATCCGCAAAGAGTTTTCACACTGCACTGTCCTCACTATTGCCCACCGTCTGCACAGCATCATGGACAGCTCCAGGTGAGTTTAGGGTCACCTAATATGTCTTGATGAGGTGTCTCTGCATTCATTTCTCATTTTTCAATACCAAATTTGTTTCTTCCCTTCACTTGCGTATGGTGTGGAATCCACATTTAGCCTTTCCACGTTATTTATGCAACATTTTCTCATGGGGTAATTCCACCCAATTAAAATGTGTTTGTTGCCAAAGGACACAAAATAACAAATGTTATGAAGCAAACAAACTGAAAATGCCATATTATTGTGCCTCTGCTGTTGCATCCACCTGTCTTTTATGACGGAACTAAATAGCAAAGTTGTGTTTGATAAAACTCAAAATGTGCAATAAGAAAGACAAAATAATCCAAACTCCAGGTCCTCTTTCTGTTGCTCGATTTATTTAAGCATTTTAAGCATTCAAGACTTTTTGTCCATGTTGGCTTGAAAGTTTAGCTTAACAGTTAATTGTTGAGCTTGAAAACAGCAGTTGGCAAACCAGTTATCCACTTGCTCGTTTGTTTCGGAGCTTTTGAACATATCACATGTAAATTTACGTGTTCAAACTTGCCATTATTCTGAGCACTTGTAGGACTTTATTGTTGTCCAAATATTGCAATTATTATTCAGTCCCAAACAATGGGCTAGTGTGGCTCAGTATTTCATGTGGCAGGTGTTCCAGCAGTTAGGGTGACAGAAGCCTAACAGCCACAGCTGTGAGATCCAAGTCAGCTCCTGTATGCACATCTATAAAAAACATAAACACGAAAGTAATGCGAGACTTCAAAGTCTCCATTGGCTTTGCCTGGATATGCCGACCGTACCATAGACTCGGGGTGAGAGGTGGAGTGGGAGTATGTATGGATTTATTAATTGTATTCTAGAGATTTTGAAAAATAAGGATTACATATTTGAAAATAAGGTATCCGTTTGAAATATACTTAGTTTGGTGTGAGTAGTGTCAACAACACTTCCTACAATTTCTCCCCACGAAAGCATTAGGAAGTTTTGAGACTCAAAGGTCACACATGTTCAAAAACACTTGAAGAAATGTGATTTCAAAAGGATATATATATATCAATTTTATTGACAATTATTATCTTCTAAAATGACAAGCAGTCCAACTTCAAAATACAGACCAGTGCTGACAACAAGTTAGCTGCACTTCAAATATTTCCACACTACCCGATACACATGAGCAGAGTTGGTTTTCCTGTTATGAAAAGTGTAGGTTGCTGTGTCCAGTTGTCAGCCTGCTTTTTTGCTTCTAGTTTTGTTCCCCTACTTCTCAAGAATCATAATATCATATCTGACTATATCGATTGGTCTACCGAGTAATGCCCCTAAAATAAACAAAAAAAACAAATGCCGTATTCTTCCTTTAAACTGTTTAGCATGGAATTACTTTTGCTTATTATAATAAAGTCTCCTTTTATTGTCTGTATCCTATTCCTTCTGCCAAGAGTTAATTAAGGCTCTTCTAAATTAAGGGTTTGTCTCTCCTGTACCATACGCTGCTTTAATCATTTTGTATACTTTAAGAGCCGTCTTTGCCAATTTATCTGCTTGTTTCTTTACCTTTATCAGCCATATGAGCAGAGACCCAACAAAACTGCACTTCTAAACCCATCTTGATGTGGATTCCTATCATGAGATCTCCTCTGATTGTTTGCCTTGATGACAAACCTCTGAGAGTCGCTGCTCAATCTGAGCAAACTACTTTTTAATGGCTGTACTTGTTCTATCCACTGACAGCCAAACATGATCGCAGTTGCAACTTAATGGCGGTTCATTTTTTCATCCTTAAGACAACTCTAGTGTTTTGGAAATTTTCCATAAATTTACCGACCCTTTGCAACCCTATGCATTACCCCTCACTGGAGGTCACCAGAGTAGTAAGTAAGTAATTAAAATGTATTTATAAAGCGCTTTTTACAGACATAAGTCACAAAGTGCTTAACAGGGCAGAATTACAAACATAAACAACACAATGTGACCATAGGGCCAATAATTTACATACACACAGAAAATACAAAATTAAAACATGGTTTAAAAGCAGGTCTAGGACATGGGATTTATCCAAACGCCAGTCTAAAGAGGTGGGTTTTGAGCTGGTTTCTGAATGCGTTCACAGAATCTGCAAAGCGTAGGGGTGCAGGCAGAGCATTCCACAGCCTGGGTGCTGCTGCCTCAAAAGCTCGGTCACCACGGGTCTTAAGGCGAGTGCGTGGGACTGACAGAAGACCTAAAACGTTTGACCTGAGAGCGCGGGCGGGTGAATAGGGGCGAAGTAGATCAGCTGCATGAGTAGGAGCCTGACCGTGTAGTGCTCTGTAAATGAGAGTGAGAATTTTAAAGTGTATCCTAAATGCTACAGGGAGCCAGTAGGGCCTATCCAACCATGTTTTTCATCAAAGCATCAATCTGGATCTGGAGCTTATCCCAGCATGCATTTGGAAAAGAGCAGGGAAAATTGCTGGGCAGTTTTCCAGTCTCTTGTAGGGCTGATTGACGTGGAAAAACATTTACACCTAAATCTGACTATAATCCTTACCTGAAATAAAAGGTATACTATCCCCCCTATCCATAAGACGGCACAAAAGGCTACACATCCATTTCCTTCACATTTAAGCAGGGCGTTAACTTCTGTCGAATCCTCCTTCTCTGCCAGCCAATAATGACATGTACATTACTCAGCGGGTTCCACTTTCTGCCTTGTTCTTCCTCCACAGGGTGATGGTGCTTGATGCTGGTAAAATAGTGGAATTTGATTCTCCAAGCAACCTCCTTCAAAAACATGGCCATTTCTATGCAATGGCAAAGGATGCTGGAATTACGCGAGACGACACCACAGTTCTCTGATTTTGCACTTTTTTTTTTCTTTGCACAATTATCTCGAAAGTGTATTTAAATTTTTTAATACAAATACATATTATAACATCTGTATTTATAGGAAATAACAGAAAGAAATCATATTTTGTATGTGAATTATTATTATTATGCAACAATAAAAAACCTTTCTCAATTACTGCTTAATTGTTTTTTATACTACTGCATCAGTTGTTTCAACTCTCTGTCTTATTGAACACTAACTGGGTCTTTAAATGAATAGCTGTACATTTTGGGAAATACACTTATCATAATGACAGAGAGTTAGATGAGAAGATGGATACCGCTCACATGTCTACAAGAAATGAACAAATAAAAACAAATTATCATTTTGACTTTGTACAGATTAAACACATTATGTAATATGTAATGTTAATTAGTGAGTTTCAGAGGTGCTGGCAGGTGGATTTTGTTACTTTTCTGACAGAGCCAGGCACTCAGTTTTCCCCTGTTTCCAGTCTTTTTCCTCATGTTTAGCAGACAGGTATTTTAGAGTGATATGTCAACCCTCTGCCAGAAAGCGCGTCGTGCAGAATCTCTGGGCGAAGATCAATATCGATCAGCATGTGTGGTGATTATTAGATGCTCTCTCAGTCACATGATGCGTCCTGGTAACCGGGCATTTAAAAAAAAAAAAAAAAAAAAAAGTATCTAACCGACCATTCCGATGTCTATCGTTATACTGTATCAGCCTGGTGTCCTTTTCAGGCGACATGAGACAAAGCTGTGCGCAACGGCTCTTCGCTCTTTCGCGGCACGACACGGAGCCTGCGGATTTATCAACAGGTCTCCTACTACCTTCAGATGCTGCAGGGATTTCATAAACTTAAGCTTCTCACACACTATAAAGCAGCTGTGGACAGCAGATACTGAAAGTAATAAAACAAATAAAGTAATTGCATTGCTCATTCACATTTTTTTCTCAACACGCACACTATCAGACTGTCTTGCATGTCAAAGCAGCTGCATTGACTTGTTTACAATTTCTATCAGCCACTTGTCTGAGAGAGAGAGAGAGAGGGAGAGGGAGAGAAAGGGAGAGAGGAGAAGGGAGATGATCACAGCTGTGTATTTTTGATATTGAAGAGAGCTTCACCCTGCATCTTGTTCCTCTAGAAGGTAAGTCTACGCATTATTGATCCAATACACCTTCTCACTGGAATCTTTTTTTCTTTCTTTTCTTTTTTCAACTGGCTAGATTGGCAGCGCAACAGGTTGTACAGTGTGCGCTCTGATTTTAATTTCAATAAGATTTCTATTCCATAAAAATGAAATGTTTGACAGATGAATTTAATTGCAGGCAATTACATGCACTTTAAATTATATGCATGATTACAGCGGAAATGCAACAGGTTTCTGAGTGAATGTGTTCAGGATGGCCGATTTACAATGATAACCTCTCTAAGGTTAAGCTTCGTCAAATATTTATTTGTCTGTTATTTGCTGAATGATTTAGTTTGTGTCAGTGACTTTATCCTAAATGTTTATGAATGTAGGCTTACCGCAAGTTTAGGTTAATCAGCATTTTTCTTGACAACTGCTGCTGAAAATCCCTGTATTTTAGTGCATAGCAATATGTGCTATCAATCTTATATTTAATATAAATTATTAGCTAAAATAGCAAGAAGGAAATTGTGCACATTTAAAAAATTCAGTACTCTTAAAAAAAGGATGAACATGGAATAGTTGATTGTGAGATCTATCCCTTCTTATTTTCTTCTTTCAAAGACAATAATCGAGAGGTCACTCTCTCATGAATATGGTATGAGAGTGTAATTTAGCAGGCGACCCTCCTATTATCTTCTTCTGGCTGGTTGCTCTGCTGAATTGTGCACGTCTATGCAACACCATAAAATAGCAGCACTCATTTAAAAGCAGCCTAATTTAAAACAATAACATCTGACCTGCAGAATGGTTGCTAATGTCAGTGTCATTGTTGTCATTATTATCTATAACCCAACACAGTCATGGCTTTTATATACTATTTCTCTATAACATTCTTCTAGTTGTCAACCAGCTGCCGCACCATGAACTTCTCGGAGCAGATGTTATCCGTCTTCAGCTGTAATGTCAGCCCGAGTGAGAAGCCGCAGCTCGACATAGGCGTCTCTAAAAGGGAGCCCCTGGTTATAGCCGTCCCCATGACCGTTTTCTACAGCATCATCTTCTTTTCTGGAGTATGAACAGTCATTTTACTAGACTCAACACACTATCAATGTTACCTTCTGAATTACAACACTAAGTGGTATTGTGTGATGATAAAATACAGTAGTAGCCACAATTCTAGTCATATAGTGTTAATGATATGCTGACAGCACACAACACAAACTTTTTCTTTCTCACTAAATGCTGTCCCTTCATGCTCTACAGGTCTTACTCAATGGTGTGAGCATACTGACCCTCTTCATGGATGCTCAGATGAGAGTCAGTGCCATTCGTTTCCACCTCATCAGCCTGGTCATATCAGGTACACTACGCTTCCACTCAGTTCAAAACGACAATAGAAAGTGTCATCTTTATGGTCTTGGAAAGTCTGCAGAACGTCCTGATTCTATGTCTGATGAATGTAAACTTCAGTACCTGTTTGCAGACAAAGTGTTTCACCGAGCTCAATTTGCGTTAAATGTCTCACAGCAGTGTAGCGCTTTATGTTTCATATGTTAAAGGAACAGCTTGTGCCTCAGATATGCCGATAAGTTATGTTTTATAACTGTAATGTGGGAGATGGATTGTGTTTATATTTGCCATGTGTGATATTAATACATTTTGGCACATGACGCTTTGTAAAATAAATGTACTCACATACTTACTTACCATGCACTTTATGGAAAATCAGGACTAACAATGTTTAAAATTAAAGAATTCAATAAAAGTAAAAAAAATATTTATTTCTGATGGAATTAAGTGTGAGATATACATTTCATTGTTTTTAGGTTTGTTTATTGTCTATTAACATCAGTGGATAGTATAGAACACATTCACTAAATTTGTATTAACAGCCCCCAATCATGACAAATGCTTTTGATGTTTTACGTTCCATTTCATTACTAGCTTAGTACACTAAAAAGCATTCATTCTGCATTTATTTTGGGCATGCAGAGATGTATTTCAAACCTGAAAATGATTAAATAAATTTCATGTAAAATGAATGTTGTATGTAATGCGCACACATTTAATTTAAATTTCAACAAGTTATTTTAATGTATTATTGTCAGTCCTGGACTGTGGTGTATTGCTTACTTCGAGGAACCATCTTCAGTGCAAATTTCCTAAATGTATGTTGTTTTTTTCTCTTTGAACTTTAGACATTTTGCAGCTGTTGACCATCCCGATAACTTTGTTTCGCTACTATTGGGAGAGCTACCCATGGCGTCTGGGCCGAACAGTATGCAAAGTCTACTTTATGGTGCGCCAAGTGTACTGTGCCACCACAAGCTTGGTTATCCTGACCTTCACCACTGAGCGTTATGCAGCCATTTGCCACACCATTTGGTCTGTCTCCAGCCTGAAGGTTGAGTTCTTCCAAAAAACTTTAAATGCAAAAAAGCTTTGGGATGTATTCTAATACTGTTTACTACATTTGTCCGCAACTGTCATCATTTGGCGTGATGTTCATGTTTGGTTTCTTCCCCAAAATTCATATAAAACAGGTTCCTTGTTCATCCTCAAAGTATTGTATCACAATATACTGCTGGAAATAGTGTAATTAAAAATTAAAGCATCTATCCAATTATAGGGCATTCTCATGTTCAAAACATGTTCATACTGCAGACATTTTTGAGAAAACATGATTTGAGTCTGGCCAGATAAAAAGAACACAGTGGGATGCTTTAACTTTTCTATATTTGTATTTTCCTTTCCAACAGAAGTTTCGACTGCCATGCCTTCTTTCAGTCTGGATCATTTCTCTGGTCTCGGCTGTACCCTTTGCTCTGGTCTATGACGAGGCTCTTGTCTGCATCCTTGACTACACTGCCGCTACACTAAAAGACGCCTTCCATGTGTCCACCATGTGTGAGATGACAGAGCCTGATCCTGCACACATCTACAAAGGTGCTTTACTCATCAGAGCAGGCATCTTCTTTCTGGTGAGATAAGTGCTTCTTGAAAAGGTATATTTGATAACCTGCTTCACACGGAAGCACTCAACATGACTCTTCTACAGGTCCCTCTCATCTCCATCTGTACTCTCTATCTGCTCATCCTGCTCTACCTGAGGCGGAATGGACGTCAAAGGAGAGACATGGGTCTAACGAGGCCGAATCCACAAGGAAGACGAGACATTCAGTGCCATCAGAATGGAAAGCTGCTTTCAAATGAAAAGAGAGCTCTAAAACTAATGGGTGAGTAATGGGGGTGGGAATCACCAGAGGTCCCGCGATACGATATTATCACGATACTTAGGTCACGATACGATATTATCACTATACTGCGATATTATCACGATACTGCGATATTATCACGATACTGCGATATTCTGAGTATTGCGATAACATAGGCCTATATTGCGATTTATTACTTTTTTCAACTTCAAATTATGTCCACAATGTCTCTATCTTTGTTTTGACCAACTTCCTACCAACCAAGCTGACCCGCGACCTTTGCTGACCTCACCAGAAAACAACTCAAAAGCAATTGATTTGATTTTTCTAGTATTTTTTTTAATAGTTTATATAATAAAAGATCGATACTTGGCGTCCGTGTATCGATACAATATCGCCACGCAAAATATCACGATACTATGCTGTGTTGATTTTTTCCCCCACCCCAGGAGTAATGGGAAATTTATAAAACCGTGTTGATCTCTTGAGGTTGTGGCAGAGTAAATCACCCAAGTGCTCTGATTTATCTTAGCCTGATGATGACCTTATGGGTATTTCTCAAGTCTCTTAATTGTCGTTTCCTCGCTCATCGATCCTCGCTTGAACCGGAAGTTGTTTCTGCGCCGCCATATTGACGGCCGTCCCAAAGCTCTAATGTAGCTTGGAGGAGCGAGGATCGAGGATGGAGGAGGGACCTCGGAGGAGCCATGACCGAGGAACCATGAGAACAGACTTCCAGGAAGTCTTTTAATGGCCGACACGCCCCTTCATTGTTCATCAGTTATGTGATTGGACGCTGCAGCCGATCGGACTGACCAACTGGAGTTTAACACCAGAGTGAAGACAGATCACAGAATAAAGCTTTATATTTGATTAGGTTTCTGATTCACCGTCTGGTTTAAATATATGTTCATTGTAGTCTGAACAAAACGACCACAAACAACTTTCTTCATTTGTTAGAAAGATTTGTGTTTTCATGATCTGATTTTTCCCTCAATAACTTTTATTATGAATACAATTAAAGTCAGAGAGAGCTGGAGAGACAAAACACTTTTTACATCATTCCTGAGTGTTTGATGAGTTTTATCATTTAAGAGAAACAATAATCATATTCTGGGTTATTTAATAATGAGGCCACAGTCACAATTTCAAAACATACAGATGCAAATAATTCATAAATAAGACGATTGCATTCCGCCGGTAGAAATCGATCCTGCGCTTATAAACAGAACACAGGACACAGTTTGTTAACAGACTACAGAGAGAAAACGCCTCTACAGTGGTGATTACTGTGTCTTTATTAGTTATTAGTGTTATTAGTTACTATTATTAAGTACAGTGATCATGTGAACACACACAAACTTCTCAAAAGTCTCTCCAGCTGTTAAAGCCGACTGACGGCTGATCCAGTGATCATCAGCCACCGTCATCAGAAACAGACGTTGCTTCAGTGACGCAACTGAGGAAAGGACGTCTCATGTATTTTAAAACATATTTCCTCGTTCCTCTCTCCTTGCATGGTTTCCTCCATGCATCCCTGGTGGGAGGGACTAAGACGCAAGGAAAGGACGCAAGTGAGGGAAACGGGGATGCAATTAAGAGACTTGAGAAGTACCCCCAGAAGGTCTAAGTGTCCACTCACTCCAGAAAGACTTCCTTCCCTCTTGGTTGCAGGCAATAAATAAATTGCACTGAGCTCGACATTAGTTTCAGTTAATTTAGGTTAATACATATTTGCAGGCAAAAAAAACTGTTTGTCTGCATATTATTCATTGTCCATCATGGTCTCAAATTCAGCTGTGACTGTGATGCTGTAAACAATTGGCTTTTGTCAACTTTTCATGTCCAATCAGATGGTAGCATGCACTCCCTATGAGGTGTTGTCGATGGCACACATAGTTACCTCATGATATAGTGTCAGGATCTGTCTACAGTTTTGATGCCCTTCATTTAGGCCAATTATGCTAGCAATTGCTTATTTACTGCAATTCATTTCAAAATCCGTTAACATGAGCGAGAGCGATTAACATCTTCTATGCTGTGTCTTCCAGGTGCAGTCTTGGTGGCCTTTTTTGTTTGCAACTTTCCGGACATTGCCTCGTCGCTGATGCAGGTCTACGTGGTTGTGTGGTCCGACACTGTCCTTTTTGTCTACACAATTCTGAAATCCTACTTGTCGCTTCCACTGTGGTATATCAACAGTGCTCTGGACCCGCTGCTGTTCTGTATTTCCTCCCACATATTTCGCAGGGCGTGCAGGAGAACCCTGGGTAGGCTCAGGTCTCACTGCTCCTGTAAATATGGGAGCATGTCTTGGCTGAAGAGAAGTTCTACTGAAGAAGCAAGCACAGTAACAGTCAGTAAGAGGATTCATGGTAAATGCTATAGAGTGAATATGGCCAAAAAGAGAAATACAATCACGAACAAAACTAATCAGAGGAATGGAAATATCCATGAAACCGCCTTTAAACATGAGCAGCAACAACAAGCAATCTGAATTATTATCTCTTTTAGAAGCCGTTCAGATCCCCCGGCCAATTTAATGGACATAACTTTTCTGGGATGTCTAGATCTATGATTACTGTCATCTGACTCCACCAAAACGCACACCCTTATTTCATTGGATGTCTCCAAGCTAATCACAGTGTTCCACATCATTAAAAGTGGACAGCAGGAGAGTCTCACAACCAGTGGCGGCTGGTGGAAAATTTTCTAGGTAGGGCCATCCAATCAATTTCAGCAAACATCCCAGTATGATTTAATGCAAAAAAAATTAAGGTATCAAACACGTATTACTACATTGCAGTTAAATATTTAACATTTATTCCAACACGAAAAAAAGCAGTAAATAACACTTTGATGAACACGTCAGGACATAATATTTTTGTCACCCTCACAGGGAATTCAGTATAATAAATATATATATATATATATATATATATCTATATATATATAAATATATATATATATATAAATATATATCATATAATAATATTCTGTATAATATAAAACACACACATACAGATATATATAGATATATACAGTATATATATACAGTATATATAAAATATAATAGAATATAATAGAACATGTTTATTTATTGAGATGCCCCTATGGACCTTGTTATAGGGAGAAGTAAACATGAAGTGTAATTAGGAATACTGATGTTAAATTAAGCTATGATGAGTTTTCACTGTTAATTTACCATCTCAATTAAATGTTGATGCCTCCATGACCAAGATGAGACTGAGGACAACTATGTACAAGAAAAGATGTTCACTTTGCCTCATATGGCTGACAGAGTTCTCCATGTGTGCCCTGGTGTTCTCATGTTTCCTTACTTTTTCAGACAGGTGCATTCATGTCCCTCACTCCCGTTACTGTCCATGCTGGATCTATCCCTGTTGTTTTAAGTTATTAGCATGACTGCATCCAGCTAGCCAAACCTGTTTGGTGTACAGCTAGTAGAGAAGCTTCGCATGTACTGCTTCCCTTTCCCGCTCGTCTGCTGTCTGATTGTGAGGTCAGGCTGATCTGGGATCAGCTCTCTGCAGAATCTCCGCCAAAGTTCTCCTCTCAAAAACGGGTCTTGGAGGAGTAGTGCTCGCGCTCGCCCGTAGAGACTTCTCCTGACGAGGACGCGCAAGCTATTATTGATAATTTGTATAATTTATTATTATTATTTTTTTTTTTTTTGTGGCTCAAGGAGGGGCGCTCAAGGTGGGGCCACGCCCCTCTATTGGCCAGCCGCCACTGCTCACAACCTTTGTTGACAACCACGGATGATCGGGAGGCAAGCAAGGCCATCAAATGAAGGCCACATGTGCAGTGTAACTGGAGTTACAAGGTTGCAGCAGATGGTGCCAGAATTAAAGAGATGGTGTCCTCTCAGGTGCTATTTGGGTGTGGTCTACCTGACAGATGTGTTGGGGTACGCTCAAATTAATGGTGATCAACGTTTTAAATAACATTTGCTTTTGGTCTTTTATTAACGATCTGTTCAATAATTGCAGGATTGTAATTCTCACCCATAGAGTAGGCTGGTATTGACGGCCTTCCTGCACACTTCAGTGAAAGGAATCGATCATCCCTAGGTTCTATGATTGTACAGCAGTTCGTGAAGCTTTGGGAAAGTGCAGATCAGATTTTACTGTGCATGTGTTGTACACATAGACTGCAAGGTCCAATACCATTGTCCCCCCTAAGGCCTTCAGCCCTGAACCCTCAGGGACTTAACTGACGTCACCTGGTAAATGGTTGAGTATTAGAGACTGCAAGTGCTGGAAATGGTATAAATACGAATGTGACCGAACTTTGCCGCCATGTATCTCGCTGCCTTGATGGGGCTTAGGGCTGTCCCTCTGTCAAAAAGTGTTTGAGATCTCTCTCTCAGACATTTTTAGCCCTTCATGCAGTTGTTTGCTGCTGTTCAGGATGTTAAATACAGGGCTTATAAAGTAAACATGGGATGTTACATTACTTATACAAAGATTAATAGCATTTACTAAGGATTTCTTTTTTTTTTTTTAAATGAATCCGTCCATTGGAATGGTTGGGGGATCTGAATGTCACCGCAAGAAAAATAAGGAATTGAATAGGAAAATATTGTTCTGTTTTAAACTTTCTAATGTTAAGATCAGCTTATCATGCATCCTATTTATTATAAACACAGAGTATTCAACTCAGGAAGCTTTGAACATACTGTTTTCTTTTATTAATGAAAAAAAGATAAATGTAGTTTGTTGAAAAAAAGGTCTCTTAAGACTTAATTATCATGTTTAATTAGGTGTTATTTTTACGTTCAGATTGGAAACGCAAATTCCATTGTAATGAACAGAAAGAAATAATTCATAGTCTTGTAAAGTGTTTTGGTTGTAGTTCATTGCCAATGATTTATAAATGCATTTAGAGAAGAAATCCGCCATTACGATATTGTTTGGTGTTTGGAACATATAACTGGGTTCTGACAAAAATTTGGCACCTTGGAATACAAAAACAACATTTTTTTTCCTCTACAACTCTGCCTTATTTCTGATCCTTCTATATTACTGGAAAATTATCTCAGAGTGTTGTTGAAAGCTGGAAGTATTTTTTCTGTCAAAGTGATTACTATGTCTGGAGAATGTGTGAGATTTTATTGATGTCAAGTATTATTTCTGTTCCTTATTGGAGCCAGAAAAATATCTTTGGTGCCTAGAAGCTTACAGTATTGTGACTAATGTGAAGACATTCAATGTAGCGTATTTTTATATCAAGTGTGATAAGTACGACTCAGAAATTTAACCGAAATTACAGGATATGGTAGTGTGTATTTCTATGCTAAGTTTGAAATATTACGTATGTTGTTCAAGAGCATTATTCAGGTGTATTTCTCACATCATAACTGTTCAGGTTACATACCAATGTATTTTTCAATCTAGAGATAAGGGGAAGGACAAAATGGTCAGTTAAACCAAACGTTGTACATTTCTGTTCTTTGTATTAATATTAAATGTTGACAGTAATGTTAATATTGTCAGTGCCATTGTCAGAAAAAGAAGAACTCGTAACAAAAAAAAGCAGTGTATGGTGTGGTTTTTCATATTTCATTGCAAACAATTACTACCTAGCAGGGCCGTGTCTAAAGGAGTGGCAGGGCTGGTTAATCTTCATTAATTCTGAGTTACCCACAGACAAATGATTGATGGTGTCCACTCTCCTGCCTATGGTCAAAATGTAGTGAAAATGATGTGTCATAGCCTACTAAGGTTCTGTAGAAGTACCCTCTGCCACCAGACTACAGAGCATCTTATTTCCTAAAGCTGTAAAACTCCTCAGCTCATTTTCTGCACTCCTCTTGTGTAGCACAAAGGGACAACACCATGCATTTCGTTGTGCAACCCTTAGAATGACAATAAATGAACCTTGACATATTTAATGAAAGGGGTAGTCCATGTTCATTATTTATCAGTTGAGCAGTCTTGACGTGCGTATATTTCAGCCAATCACAACACCGTGGGCGGGACTAAAGATAAAACAGCGGAAGATTCAAAACGAAGATGGCGGCTGCAGATGATACCCACAACAATCACAAACTGAGCAGAAGGTCGACACTTTTCCTTTTATATATCCTCAAATTAACAGACAATAAACTATTGTATGAGGAGTTTCTTTGAATCTTAACGTTAGTGCTAATACAACATCTTGTGAACTAACGCTATTCAGTACGCTACGAGTAACTAACGTTAACTACTAGCGTTAGCCATTTTAGTTAACCTAGCAACAACTTCGTATGCTAGTAATAGCTAACGTTAATCGGCTAATACCTGTTCTAACTTCTACACTTTAGGTACCAGCCCGAACCATTACTATTCCGTTGAGTCTCGAAATGACCCCCGACTCTGTTTCTCATGAACAGGGGGACGACATGCAGTGTGTTTATCAGCCAGGAGAAGCCCAACACGAGCCAGCCTGTGATCTTCAACCCGGACTTCTTCGTGGAGAGGCTGAGACACGAGCATCCACAGGCCTTCGCGGATTTGGTACTAAGCAACATCACTCGTCTCATAGACCTTCCCGGGGACGAGTTTGCCCAGCTCACCGGAGAGTCCGAGGCGAAGGTGCCCACCACCGCTGGCTTCCTCCGCTCCTTCAACTTCCTGAAACGTAAAGGTGAGGCCAACATAGTGTGCTCAGAGTCTTTGAAACGACAATTTAGACTAATATGTTTGGAGTGAAGTTATTTTCTGTTGCATTAGGAAGTTAAAATACTTACAATAAGGACTACTGTTAATTTATCAACAGACCACACACAGTATCTATTTAATTAAGACTTGCAATGCATGTATTTCCACCTGGGATAAAATGATAATTTAAAAATAAATGAAATCATCACATAGATGATACACACAAGTAAACACATGGAATCTGACCACTGCATTTAACCCATCCTAAGCATTTATAGGTATTGGAATAGATATTTATGATTTGTCCCCAGGGTGTTGTATTGTAAGAGTACCTTTATACATATAATAGCAAATGCATATCTTGGGTTTTGTATCGTTGGTCAGACAAAAAACTTAATGTGAAGATGTCACCTTCACACTTTTTAGATGATTTAATTGATAAATAAATAATCAACTGAAGGGCTTCAGTTGATTATTGTTTTCATTGCAGATGAATTTGCAGATTATTTTTACAATTATCGTTTGTTCCATAAAATGACAGAAAATACTGAAAAATTTCAATCACAATTTTGTGAACCCAAACTCAACATCACCAAACTGATTGTTCTGCCCGACCCAAACGGTATTTAAATGTATTGTCACATAAGTCAAAGAGAAGAAGTGTTACAAAAAGCACGAACAAGTTTGAGATTTTTGCGTGAAAGGTGATTTAAGTGATTAATTTCAATCGATGAATAAACTAATTGTTTCAGTTTTAATATAGAGTTTGTTAATTCATAATTTAAGTAATTGTTAGTTTCTGTCTCTGTTTTTTCACAACGTGTTGTTGGTTATGTAACGGGGTGCAGCCGGTCCATGTGATGGATGGAAATGATAAAAGGGAGCCAATGAATCTAGTGAGAATGAATACAGTTGTACACGTAAAGTATAAAAACAGTCCTTCTGTTCTATTTGATGACTTTCAGACAAAGGAGTGGTTTTCGGTGCACCATTAACCGAAGAAGGAATTGCACAGATCTATCAGCTCATTGAATACCTGAGTAAAAGTGAGTACCACTTCATAGACATGCATGACTTCAGCCACACTTTCCTCCAAAGCGCTTTGTGATATCATGACCACACACATTTCTCATGCGTGAGGAGACAGATCTGTAACCATGATGGTATTTGTGTCAAACACTTATTATATTAACGTCCTAATATAGCTAGTTGAATTGCTTGATCAGCATGTATCATTAACTCTTATAACTATTGGATTTGTTAGACTTGTTACTTCTAGAAAGCGATGATGTAATTCAACGAAAATAGACACAGGGAGCAAATGCTTGGGTCAATAATTCATCTGAAAGCTCTTTGCTCCGGCTGTCTCCCTCCTTCCCGCTGTCCCTCGCCTCCCTTCTGAGTCTTTGTCTCCCGATGTCTCCTTCACTCTGTGTCTATCCGCCTACACACCACATCTCTTTTGTCCGTCTCTCACCATCCTTTCTCTCTCACCCCTCAGACCTTCACGTGGAGGGGTTGTTCCGTGTGCCGGGCCACAGCCTCAGGCAGGCGGCCCTGAGAGAGATGCTGAATGCTGGGGCAGAGATAGATCTAGAGACGGGCGACTTCCACCCCAATGATGCGGCCACACTGCTCAAAGCTTACCTGGGAGAGCTGCCAGAGCCTCTGCTCACGCACAGACACTATCATGCCCACCTGAAGATCGGAGGTGTGCGTTGACGATACACAGATCCTTGTCATGGCTCAATATCAGATCAATCTTAAGAAAATAAAATAATGGTGCACCCCTTTGCTATTTTGTCACACTTCTCTTATGTGCTGTGTCCAGAGCTGACTCGCTTTGATGATGGAGGGGAAAAGACGAGTGTGCCTGACAAGGAGCACCGGATCGAAGCGTTTCAGCTGCTTTTCATGCTGCTCCCAGCAGCCAACCGCAGCCTGTTGAAACTGCTGCTGGACCTGCTGTACCACACGGCTCGGAATCAGCACATCAACAAGATGTCTGCTATCAATCTAGCTACAATGTTTGCTCCACACATCATCTGGCCCAAAAATGTAAGGACCGTAGGTTTGTTTTGTTCTACCTGCTGAGTCTGTGCCAACTATCCTCAGGGCGTCGCAGCTCAGGAGGTAGAGCGGTCGTCTATTCGAAGGTTCCTTAAGAGAGCATCCAAGAGTCCTTGAAGGAACACACTGAACCCCTAACCGCTCTTCATGAGCAAGTTGGCACCTTGAGAATGTGAATAGATGAATGTTGGCATACGTTGTAAAGCGCTTTGAATGGTTGATAGACTAGAAATGCACTATATAAATACATTTCATGAACTATGTTTTCAGTCGAGTAAAGCTTGACTGTTTTCTTGAATTTGTTTGTATTTTTTTGGGGTGTTTCTATGTTGCAGGTGATGGCAAGTGATCTGCAGGCAAGCATCGAGCAACTGAATAATGGCATCGCGTTCCTCATCAGGCACTCGCAGAAACTGTTCAAGGTAAGCAGATCTACAAACCGCTTCTCTCTTCTTTGTCTGATAAGAGCAACAGCATGAGGTGTTGAAGTTGTCTGTATTCTGTGCTGAACTTAATGTTCACATAAAAAAACAAACACACAGGGAGGTATTTCTAATGGGAGATCATTTGGAAAGATACATGTAGTACATCACAACCATGTAGTAGCGATGGTTCCCCTGGGATCTCATAGTTGTTGGCAGGGTTACAATGAATACAAGCAGGGTAGTTATAAAGAATATGGAATTTACATGTCCAGTGCCTGTAATCAGTAGCCTTTCAGATCTCGACAATCAGCTTATATTTCTTCATTCATTTATTGATTCCTTTTGTTAGTTTCTATATTGTACACATCATATATTCTTCCAAGCAGCAGATTAAATGCACTGTTGTTTCATTCGTCACAATGATTTCATCAGATTTTACATGTTTCCTTCCATTGAAGGCACCTACATACATCAAAGAATATACCCGCGTGTACTTCACAGGATCTAAAACTCTCCAATCAAAGGTGAGTGGTTCATTTCAGACACTTTGTGTCTAAATACAGAACTTTTGAGAGACTCCTATCTGTTACTCGGCTCTTAATAGGATGATTTTCAGAGGATGTTGAGTTTTGCGTTGCAGTGAGATAACAAAATGTAAAATACCTGGTCGCATGTTATGTCTGATCTTTCTAGGATGACTTGACACTCTGTTCTGGGACTCAAGATGTACCTGTAACAGCTGCCTCCCCTTCTCCCTCCATGAGAACAAGAGGTGAGGTCAGCAGCAGCTCCACCACCAGGTCCTTTGAGACCCAGAGTTACACTGAATCTGCCCTCAGAGAGCTGTACCGGCAGGCCAACAACATGCCGGAGTCTGCCAAAAAGAAGAAACTCATCAGACAGGTACAGCACGCGCTGGGAGAAGAAATAACACACAGAAAACAATTTGCAACCCAGCAGCTGAATGTGTTGTCTTTTTGTGTGTAGTTTGATAAGCAGCCTTTGCGGACGCCTTCGGCTGACACACGGACACCCTTCAGCAGGAAACATTGGCGTTCACGCTCTTTGGGTGGAATTATCAAGGTTTGTTCACAGCAGTCCTCTGTGCAGCCGTCACCTTTCAGCCGTCATTCCATTTTGAGGATTTTTTCCTTATTTGTTAACATAAAAATGTTATCAATGAGATCTTTATGGTCTTATATACAATACAAGTATATTATAGTGCATTTAGATGAAAAGCATTTAACTATAAAAGCCCGTTTGTCTACAATGAAGAATCTATATGGTATGATAAACACAGCCCTACCCTCTGCATATCTTCCAGTAATTATTTTTTTGTTTATGAAACAGAGGAAGGTGTTGGGAAGCCAAGTGTTAACGGAGAAAGAAAACGGCAGTCTGCAGAGTCCTCTACCCAGCGGCCGTTTGATGGCCAGGCAAGAGAAAACACGAGCTGTGGAGGAGTGAGTATTGCACTCAACGGTGCTTACATTGTTAATGGTGCCTGATGTACTCAGACATTACCTAATCTTTTTCTTCTCCGTCTCTCTTTTCATCTCGTCCAGGATTCTCTAAAGGAATGCGCTGTTCGCAACTAAGGAAACATCAGGCTGACTGTTATGTGCGGGGTGTAAAATCCACAGTGTAAAGCAAGGCAGTAAAGTTTGTCTTAAAGGTTATGAAGAAAGCAAGAAAACCACCCGAACGTTTTACTTAAGCTAGGGCATACAAAAGGGGTTAAATAGACCACATGCACTATTGTAAGTCAATGTTATTGACCAGTTTTCTTACCCAGTCTATTGTTTCACATTGTTCAGTGACATGTGTTAACACCAGTGAATTTGTGGCTATTTAGCTTTACCGTTGACTGAAACATGTATTTATTTCGTATTGGTCATCTGTGCGTTTCGAGTCCCGGAATCGAGTGCATCAGATGTATTGGATTAAATGTGATGTGCAGGCTTTTCTATTTAAATGTTAAATTTGTTTGTAAATTATTGTAGGTTTAGTTGAACTCACACAGTCGATGCAGAGCGTTCAGGACTTTTATTAGAAAAGTGGTAAATTCTGAGATGTTCCTTAAAGTGAATATATCTTAAATTACTTCATAATGTAATTTGTATTCAACATTTTCTCTTTAAATTCCAGATAGCTTTAAGTGTGTGCTGAAATTTCTCTACAGAATATATTCAAATGTTGGTAAACTAGGGCAGTGAAGACTAGTGGAGGTTGGGAGATACCGAGTTAAAAGGACCATCTTGTGTAGATTATATGAATTGTTTCTACTAGCGCAAACCTTCTCCGATACTAAAGAATACTGATATTTAAAAACTACTACTACTTTTTTTTAATTCTATTTTTATCTTTTATTTTCAAAGGTTACTGAAGAGAAATGTGTTGTTTGCCTGTTGTGGTTGTTAACTCAGGTGCTTTCTGGGAGAGTTTAACCTGCTTGTTGTCTTCAAGCAGTTTCCAGATCAGTCTCTCATGTCGCCACGCTGTTACAATTCAAGTATAATGTGATGCTTTTTCCAACATGTCACCTGATGGCATTGATGCTACTGTGAAGCTGTGCAACTCACTGCAATTAAAAGACATCAAGCTCAGTTCTGTAGGAGTCTTTTCATTTGAAATGTTAGCATGTGGACTTAAGTAGGATGGAGACTTCGTTATGAACCGTTTTGGCTACTTTTCCTCCCTGGAATGTAACTCATGTTGCTCTCTGGAGCTTGTGATGCTGTTTGACTTGGAGCCACAAGGTGATGCTGTTTAGTTGCAAATAATTAGTCAGCCGGAGCGCCTGATGTGCAACATCTTCTCTGATCTGGGCAAGGCAATATCTTTATGAGAGAAATCTGCTTATTAGCTACTCCTGTCATGTTAAATACCCAAAATATGTTTATTTGAACACTTAATATTTTAATAAATAACACAAAAACTGAAATATATTGGCGAAGTTGCCAATCATAAATCTTAAAACCTATTTCAATATGTTACTTAAATGTTACCTTATGCTTCTCTCATTCCCTTCCTTTGACTTCTCCCTTCTTTAATGTGTGTGAATCAATGTCAAGCAGCCAGAAAACCTTCAAGTTGATTGAAATCTTTTAGGCTTATGAAGGCCATTGCAGCAAATACAAAAACGGGACGGAAACACAGATTCAAACAAAACACGTGACAATGTATGTGCTGAGATATACATAGATGTCAAAATATAATTCAAATGTGAACTAGTTTTAGGCTAAATATGACCAATATATACCCACAAGGTCACCAAAGGAAATGATTTGCCCAAAGTTGAACACATTGTTTTACGGAGTTGGAGGGTGAGTGGGTTGTTAGTAAGAGTGAAGGCAGCTCTCCAATAGGAGGAATGTCTGTGTGTGTCATTATGGTCTCCATGTCAATGCATGTTTGGTATTGTAAGTATATGTTGTAAACATCTGTGAAAATGGGTCTGCTTTTTCTCCTGTTCTGTAAATATACATCAGACAGCTTCCATAATAGGACTAGTATTGTTTTACAGCCAGAGCTCCGGAGGGGTTTTTATTTAGCATTCCTGCTCCACAATGAGCATGATGACTGTAAAATGAGTCGGACATACTGCAATCAACTTTACATTATCTGGTGTGCACAAAAAAACCACAGGCATATATGATGAGTGTGTGTGATCTGGCTTTAAATGTTTGCACTACAATGACTTTCAGAGGGAGAACTACGTCTAGAACTACAGATAGAGAAGTACCACACTAAAGGGGAATAAACAATTCAAGGTTGAAATATTGTTGTAGACTCCAGCATAGTTGTTTGGGGTTCTTTTTCCTCAACAATGGACAGTGGAATAATCTCTCTTGCCTCTTCTCTGTGAAGCAGCTCTTCTGAGGGTGAAATACACATCACTTCTTTTTGGTTTGAAGCATGCTGTGGAATTTTCTAGATGCTAAATTTGGTTTCTTTCTGTTTTTTTGTCTTTTTTCTTTTCCCTCTATCAAGCACTTCGAAGTTTTGTGAATTTGTTCCTCTATTCAGACACGAGAAGCTGCCAGCTTCGTCTTCGTCAACATTTGGTTACAAGCGGTAGGAAAATATTTATTGAACTCCGTCCCTCCGCTCTGTGAGAGCGGAGGGACGTTAACATCCACCCCCCTTAGCACTAAGCACCACTGTCTCCTCTTTAATTAGTCATTCATAGAAGGAAGATCAACACTGCACTGACACTTTTACCAGCACAGATGGAGCTTTTTTTCTGTGGTGTGTATGTGTATGTGTGTGTGTGTGTGTGTGTACACCTGCATACAGACACACACACACACCTCAGCATATGTATGCTTTTCCAGTTGGTCAAGCAACAAAGCAGACAGATGCACCCAAACTCAAATGTTTCGTCTTGCATCTGTCCTGCCTGGTTCTCTTTGTGCCTTTGTTAGTTAAAGTTAATGGGTTCTTCGGACTATGTGGGATTGTGCTGATGTTTAGAGGGATCCGAAATGCAGCAAAGCACTCTGTAGAATTTGAACAGAGACGAAGTGGCTCGAGCTGAGCCGAGTACAGCCGTGGCTGAATAGCTGAGGTGTTTGTTACTTTTTGTTTAGTTCTATTAAACTACCAAACTTTTAGTTAATTTAAGTTTTTAATAACGGTGTAGTTTCAAAGCAACCAAACTGCTAATAAATGAATAGTCGTAGTTCCTTACTGACTCTGAATCAAGAATTATATAATTAGTTAGAAAAAAACAGACAACACAAAAACTGACAGATGCTATACAAATCAATATATGAGCCACTGTCGAATAATTAGTTCCTAGATATCTGTGAATCTCCAGATGAGCACCTAATGAATCATTCTTGATTAATGCTGAATCAGGTGCTAAATGACACTAAACCAATGACGTATCATTACCTCCTCGGTTGCCAGTGCACTGCCGTACACGAGGGGGTGTTAAACTAGTAACTAATATATACGTATGTATGTATAATAGGATAGCGATCTAAGTATTACTTATTGTTTTTCTGCCTTTTAGCAGCTGATCCAGCGTTAATCAAGAGTGCCTCATGATGGTGATCAGCATGAGAATTCACAGATATTTAGGATCTAATCATTACACATTGGTTCAATAAAAGTTATGCAAGAATTTGTTTAATTGTGTGGATAGCTGTGAACGATGCACGTTTGTCTTGAACCTATAAAAGCGAGAAGTGTGTTTACCCACATCCGGAATACTGGTTTGCAATTCCACGAACTGAATCAATATGCATTTAGAAAGGTTTCCCGAAAGCTGCAATTACACTGTCAACAGCAGCTGGACTCTAATATATCCACTGTTTTAACTAAATGTCAACATTTGCAAAATACTACTTATTAAGATTTCCTGTGAAGTAAATAAAGCATTAAAGGTGTTACGAAGGGGATTATGTGCCAGTTACTGCCATAAATCTGAATGAACAGATCAGGTATGGTTGAGTGTAGCTGTTTATCTTTTCCTTTGTATATATGAGGATAAAATCTCTGTCCCTGTGCTTAAAATATCGTGTTTACTTACTTTGTATGGCTGTGGTCTGCCTTCCCAACAGATCATGAATACTTGTATGTCTGTGAATATGTTTGTTTGTGTGTGTGTGTGTGTGTGTGTGTGTGGGTGGGTGTCCTTCATTTCAGTTCCCTGCTGCAGCTTCTGTGTGTGTGGCCACACTTGATCTACATGTTAAGACCCACATTTACGGATTATTTATTCCGGCTTTTTGCCTCCAAGGACTCAGGTGTTGATTCCTCTCTTCCCCAGTGGATTTTCCTTCGTTACATGTATGCACACACACACACACACACACACACACACACACACACACACACACACACACACACGACCCAGTCTCCCCACAGCCTCTCCCTTCGGGCAGGGGTTATGCAGTGTCATGCAGGTTAGGTCTCTCTGTAGGGGTTTGCCTGGAGGCAAACCTGAAAGAAAATGAGTGGAGTGAGTGAAAAAGAAAACAGATAAAGAAAGATACTTGGGCTAGATTTGTATTGTGAATAGAATCAAGGGAGAATGAGGGGTGAGTTCAGGCAGGGTTCTGGGGGGGGGGGGGGGGGGTTGAGGGGGAGAGCAGTATGGGAGGAGAGGAGGGGTAGGGGTGGAGTCGGGGGGCTCTGCTATTTGGAGATCCTTGTGATGGATGACTGGTGTGTGTGTATGTAAGAGAGAGAGAGAGAGAGAGAGAGAGAGAGATAGAGAGAGAGAGAGAGAGAAAGAAAGAGACGGGCTTTTTTTCTTCTCTTTCTGCTCTTTCCCTATTCCCTCTCTCTTCAGGCGAGCAGAGCAGAGCGGGACTGAGTGAGAGGAGGACAGAGACGCAGACGTGTGCAGACCAGAGCACAGCAACTCCAAAAGGACAAGAGAGGAGAAGAGTTTGCAAGGAGAAAATAAGAGAAAGAAAACAGCTTTTTTTTACATCAGCAAACTGTGGTGGATATCATACCGACATCAAAAGAAATCTAGAAGAACAAAAAGGATTTGCTCTGTTTCACAGCTAAGAGGAAAATAATAGCATTTTTTTTATAGTTTTGTTTTCTATTTATATTCACCACAAATATATAATTATCTTTTAGAGGACTTGCAAGGTGTAGCAGGACTTTTGTTTTTTTGCAGAGAAGCAGAGAGGGGTGGACAGAGAGAAGTAAGGGTTTTGTTGAAGAAGAGCTGGCTGCAGTGGTGGTGAATATGCCCGTCAGAGGTAGCTGTTTTGGGGCGGGCATGGGCAGGCTGGCAGGGCAGCCACTCTGGATGTGGGTGGTGATGCTCTCTGCGCTGCTCATGGGCAATGCCAGTGCGTGTCCAGCCCTGTGTACCTGCAGTGGCACCACAGTAGACTGCCATGGACTGGGTCTCAAAACCATGCCAAGGAATATCCCCCGCAACACTGAAAGACTGTGAGTACCATCTGTACTCCTGTGTGTGTGTGATACAGAACTCCCTGCCTGTGTCCCTCTGTCTTCTTTATTCACTGTATTCCTTCTGTTCCCTTTCTGTATTGCAGTGCTGCACATGACTTTGCTTAGACTGAAAGAGAACAATAGCTTTGCCTGTAAAGCTGAGTGTGTGTGTGTGTGTGTGCGTGTGTGCGTGTGTCAGTCAATCACTCACTCACTGGCATTCCAGTCAGGTATAAATAGGCATGAGGGACTAGAAAGAGCAGGAGCAGATGTGTGCCTTTCACATGTGTCCATAATTTACTTACCTGCTTGTTTATACTTGCTGCATATATTTTATATTTATTTCTAAATCCTGAAAGCAAAAGAATGAAGTCTAATTTTTCCTTCACTTTTTAAAGTCAAAAAGAAAAGTTTTACGTGAAGTTTGTGAGACAAAGCCAGATTTGCCGGCTGGTACTGTGGGTACTTTAGATTCTGTTATGTTTGGGAGCATGTTTCCTGTCTATGCAGCACTGTGCCTCTCTTTATCTCTTTTTTCTTTTCCCCCTCTTTCCCCTTTTCACTTTCCTCCACTCCTGGGACAAAGACTCCCCTCTCACCCCCTTCTCATGCCCCTGAACACTCACTCCACCAATTGTTAAATCATGTAGAAAATTAAGCAAATCTGCTACTTAAGTGT